TACGACATTTTTTGTGCAAAAATAATCCTATTTTGTGTTTAAAGCTCCTTGCTCTTCTATTACTTTGGTATCTCTTATTCTATTTTTTTCTTTTATATTTTGTTGATATAAGTAAAATTGTTGAATCTCTTGTATAAAGAAGGGGTTCTGAGATACACAGAATGGTTCTTTTCATGTGATTCACTATGACCCAAAACAGAAATACAGCCAGCAGAGCTGCTGCCTTCAGAAAGTGTTCTGAGGTCTGCAGAGTCTGAAGTAATAAATCTGTACTATAAATAATAAAATAATAAATATTTTTCTCAGGGCTTTCCATCTCAGTGGTTCCTTGGGCTTTGCAGTCACTAATTAACAAGTCACAAACATACCCATGCCAGCCTTGTTTTCAGGTGGGGACACTGAGGGAGAAAGGAAGGATATAAAGTACAAATTCTTAAAGGCAGAGGAAGGCACTGCCTCATTTCCTTTGGGAGTCTGGATTTAGACATCTGTATTGAAAAATATTGCAAGGATAGGTAAGCAAATTTAGTCATCTTTATCAATGTTTAAACCTGTTAAAAGTGGTTTTCAGTACCACAGAACATCCAGAGAGCAGCCAACATAATTGGAAACTGCTGGTATTCAGCATTTCAGAAAGCCTGGAGGGCACACAGAGCTCTCCTGTCCTTAAGCAAAGGAATATAATTTCCTTATCACACTTTAAACTGTGACTTTCCTCTAAAAGTAAAAATAGCTCTAAATCCCTTTGTGGTTTTGTGGTTCTCTGATATTGCAAATCTGCACATATCCACACAAGCAGCTTTTGAGAAAATCACCCAGTTGTTACATTTTGTCATGTGAGGTGCTGTACACACTGTAGGGAGAAAAGACATTACCCCACAGACTCTGGAGATGTGCAGGGAAAGAGAATGTGGAACAACACCCTCAAAATGCTGAGAATAATTACATATACAATTTTAGAGTGTTGTTTTAATCTTTATTTTTGGTTTAAAGTATGATGATTTATATGTAATTCTTTCATAGTCAGCATTTAACATAAAATTCGGTTCTTATTAACTTATAATATGCAAAACATTTTGTGTACTGTGGTTTCTTTTTAAATACTGCCAGTCTGCAAACATCTGTGACAAATACAGAAATCCAAAACATAACAATAGATTACCTCTTCCAAAATAAACTTTTTTCTGCTTCTCAGTATGAAGAGAAAACCCTTTTTTCATATTTCACAAAGGGAATATCAGGAAATCAGAAACCTGAGCTGGAAGCTGCATTTGCTCCATGGCAGTTTCTGAGTATTGACAGGCTGGCAGGAATTGAGTGCACAGGGATGCAAATAATTAAACAGCTGAAGGGTTAATTTCTGCACCATCATCAAACAAAGCATAAAAACCAAAAATGAAGCTTTAGATGTGACCTGATGATGAGCACTTTATAGAACCCCTGGGTATGAAGCCTGCAGGCTTTATTCCCTTGATCAGTGGAGAGTGTCACTGACATATGAGAGTGTGGAGTGTGAGTGAGAACAGAGAGCAGCTTTAACTGCAAGGTGATTTGTTCAGCTGAAAAATACACCACAGAAAAACCAGCAAACATCCAGAACGATTCATTTGTGTATAACAGCCAGCAGAAGGATAGTCCCTGAGAGAGAAAGGGAGACAAGGGGAGCAGAGTGTTCCTTTTAATGTGAAAAGGGATTCTCTCTTTTATTTGTCTATATCTACAGAGACCTTTGAAAAAGATGGAACTAGCTGAGATTATGACTGGATTAAGCTTTCTTGCAGTTAAAAGCTATTTTGTATACTAACTACTGAAAGGAGCAGCAGGAGACCAATTTTTTAACTGCTGTGGTGATTTCTGATTTCTTTTTTACTTAATGTCTATTGAAGTCAGTCCAAGTCTGTGAGTTCACACCTGTGATTTGTAATGGATGCCACAGTATTTCTATGACACATCACAACTCCTGCATGTGTTAGTTTACAGCTCAAGAGGTGTTGGAATCACAAATTAGATAATGGTAGTAAAGATCAGATTAAATAAGTGATTACACATTTGAAAACATTTTAAATCTGTCATTTTTAATTTTATAAGTGAAAAAAACTGTTCTGCAATATCATCATGGGGAGGAAGGGCAGGAGCAGGGAACAAGGACTATAAAATGCCTGGAAAATGCATGTACTGCTAAAAAACTTCTAAAATTAAAGCCTGTAATACAAGACCTTTATTAGTGTCCCACTGAGCTTCAGTTGTTACATCTGGGTTTTTGACCAGCACACCAAAATTTCAACCAATGGCAAGCATTTTGTTTCCTATTCAACACTATATTAAATACTAAATCAAATAATTATTTGCTCAGTAGGAGGGGTTCTGCACTCATATCAGCTGATCATTGCTATTTTCTCTGGAGCAGCTCCATGGGGGTTGTGCTCTCAGAGCAGCCTGGCCAAAGCCTCAAACAAAGGCAAGGAAGGAGCAGACAGGAGGAGTCAGCCCTGGGACACATCCCTGGAGCTGATGGGCAGCACAGGCTGCTGGGACAGAGCTTAGCTGGGATTCTGCAGGGCTGTTCCAAGGTGGAATTCCAAAGAAGGAAGCAAAAGACAAGAGTCTGACATTCTTACATGAAGGATCACTCCACTACATGTCATTTTCCCCACCTTATAATAACAGACTGTGTTTAGCAGGAGTTTGCTGCCAGAAACCTTTTTAAATTCTTAACGACACATCCAATATACTTATTACTTTCCCATTAAACATTATGTCCCCAAAATAACAGTATGGATGTATTATGCCCATACACAAGGGACTATTTGATAAAGATTTTTTTTAATGTCAGGTAAAAAAAAAAGAGTGTTCATGTTGAGAATTACGCTGATGAGTGAACTCTCCTTTGAATCATTTAGTGGAGAAATCCCTTACTAATGTCCTGAGGGAACTGCTGACAGTGTGCAATAATTTCTGGTTCAGCGCTGCAGATTACAAGATATCTTGCATTTTATAAAATTCAGGCAAGTGCTTCTTTTGCACTCTGAGATCCATCCCTGAGCTCCCTGGTACACTCCCAGAAATTAAAGGGCCTGTGACTTTCCTTTTTTCAGCTGCAGTGGATGCTGTGGCTGTGAGCTGACTGAGGCTCTGTGTGACCTTCTGTTTCACTGCCTTCTACTCCCCGAAGTCCAGCTTCTCCAATTATGTAGCATTTGTTAAATTCCCCTTTGAAGTGAAATACAGTTACTTCCAGAATAATGGTGGAGATTAAGGTTCATGAAAATGTGTGAGGACTTCAGATGCAGCTCTTTCACCTTTAGCATTCCTCCCACTACAACCTGCTCTGTAAAGATTTTTCTCTGTTGTTTTACCTTTATTGTGCTCGTTGCTTCAGTGTCATTTTTACCACACATAAATACTGGCATTCAGAGAGAATTTCACCCAACCAGTGAAGTTCATAAGATCAGGGAGATTTTTCCCCTAGCTACAGCCTCGCCTCATGATTCTGCATCCCATTGAACTGCCCTGGTCTTCCTGGCCCTCTGGGGATTGCTGTCTCCCCCAGAATGTGTAATCCCCATGCAAGCATCAAAGCAAATGTGGAATAAGTGGCTCCTAGGATGTGAAACTGCAAAGGAAATTCTGCTGGAGTACAGGAGAAGAACAAAGCCCCTGCCAATACTCCCTTAACTTGTCCATACAGTGAAAAACCATCCAAATTTTTCTCACAGAGATATTGAAACCCTGACTAGGATTTTTGACAAATTGGGAAAGCTTTTAAAAGCATCAAGCTGCGAGCATGCATTGTTTTTGTAGGAATATTCTGTACTTCATTATGTGAGAACACTGACAAACACATTATTTAGACGATTAGCACTTTTGGCTTTAGTTTTCAAAATGAGGAATTAATACCCCTTGGCTATGCAGTTCATGAGCTGTTTTTGCTCAGGGATGCTCGGTGTAACACAGGCTGCTCCCCAGTTCCTAAAGCTGGAAGCTGACAAAAACAGCCTGCTGCTTTTGAGGTCTTTAGTTACTGATTACCACCAAAGCCTCATAAAGCAGAGCTCTTGTCTCGTATGACCCAAGAACTGCATATTCTTCTTCCACCAGGGTCTCTGAACTTGAAATAAAATTTATGTTCCACATGCCACCTGGATCACAAGGTCCTATGAAAGCTAGAATGCAAAAATAGTACTAGTTGAAAGGTTAGTATTTAACACAAAATTAAAAAGAAATTTTTTTTATATACAAAGTTTCTTTCATTTTAACTTCCGTATGAGTTTTCTTGCCTCTCTGTAGCCTGCCATGTAACCTTCTCTAATGAGCTGGGTACAAATTAGGAGCTGGCAGGAAATTGCTTCACAAGCACTCAGAAACCATGTGATGATATTTGCATGAGTCAAGAACATTTTCAGACTGCAGTGACACAGTGCTGTTACCTGCCCCCTCCTGCAGGGAAAGGCAAGGTCTGAGCTCCCAGGTACCTGCACTCCCAGCCCTCAGTGCCTCCACAGCTGCAGACACAGACCTGCCTTAACTATTCTTGTGTGCAGCCACTTACAGGTGCTGGCTCATCACATCTGTGCAGGTTCACATCGGTACAGCTTGCAGGAGCAAAGGAGGTGAGGATGAAAGCCTTCGTTGCCTGCAGCCAGTATTTGTCTTTGCTCTGAGCCCTGCAGGTTCATCTCCTTCTTGCCCTTTGCCATTGCCTCTCTGGAGCAGAGGCGTCCTCTGACTTGTAAAGAGCTTGGTGGGGTTGGCTGAGTGCAGATTCATCACTGGAGAGCAAGGAGCAGTAGTTCACAGACTCAAGATAGCACTTCTGGGAACTGTCATTTCCCAGATGAGCTGTGGACAGGCTGCACTTCAAACAGCCTCAATATTGGGCAAATTCAGCATTAGTCAGAAGTGATTCTGAGCTCATCCCTTATGACATGGAAACACAAAAAAGTACTGGGATTGCAGCTGTCCTTCTTGGAGTTCATTTGCCACTTGTGTCCCTTGTTCAGGAGCAGAGCCAGAGATGGATGACTGCCTGGAGACCCTGAAAGATGAGGAGGAGGCTTTGTGGGAGAACGTGGAGTGCAACCGGCACATGCTGAGCCGCTACATCAACCCAGCCAAACTGACCCCCTACTTACGGCAGTGCAAAGTCATCGACGAGCAGGATGAGGATGAGGTGCTCAACTCACTCATGCTGCCCTCCAAAATTAACAGAGCAGGTAATTATCTGGTCAGTGGCTCCATCTGCATCTCTCTCTGAATAGCTTTGTTCTACTAAATCTGGAGAGAGCCTGAATCAAGTTATGGACTATCAGATAGAAACTCTTTTATCTTATTTACAGGAGGTTTAAAGTACAGGGAGATTCTGCTGCTATTTTAATAACAAAGACTCCTTCCAGGGCTGTGCAGACTGGAGATTGTGGGGTTTGAATTCCCATCAAAGCCTTGGCAAATATTTCAGTTAACACAAGCAGCAGTCAGTGCCATTCCAGGAGTAGCTTTTCAGCTGTCTTGCAGTACTTTGTGATTTGTCACTGGAAGATCTGCCATCCCTGCCTGGTAAAGGCTGCACTGAATAACTTGTCCTTTGTAATTTCTGTTCCAGAGAGCAGTTTGCCCACATTCCCTTAGAATAATCATCAGGACAAACATACAGAATTGCTGGCATTACTTTATGGGTTCAGCTGAACTCAGTTTATCAGCTGGATTTTGCACAGCTCGTTGCTGAGATGAACCTTAGGAACATCAGGGATGTGATATTTGCTTGTGCTGCTCGTGGGACTGATGTGTCACCTCTCTGCTGTCTGTACCCAGGCCGGCTGCTGGACATCCTCCACACCAAGGGCCAGAGGGGCTACGTGGTGTTCCTAGAGAGCCTGGAGTTTTACTACCCTGAACTCTACAAGCTGGTGACAGGGAAAGAGCCTACACGGAGATTTTCCACTATTGTTGGTGAGTAGAATCAATCACAAAGGATTTTGTTGAAGTAAGGACTCTGTGGAAGACTGGCTTGGTTTTTTTCAGGCAAGAAGTGGAAATAAAAGCTAATCTTAGTGTAGAATGCTTTTCAGTCTCCTTCAAAGCAAAATGTGGTAGGTAATGTATAAAGCAAAGGGATATCCCAGCTGTCTGAATGAAGCTAAAGGGCTTCAAATGGAATGATAGGCAATACCAGAATTCTCAAGAGAAGCTATATTGGAACAGTGGACTAAATTACACTGATAACTTACACATGTGCAGCACATTTGAAGCATTCAGATTAATTGTACTTGCACAGATTCATTCTACAAATGTTGTGCTATTTCCACAGGCTCAGCTGAAACAAGACAAATTTAAAGGCTTCATGTTCTATCCAGGCAAACTTTATGTGTGTATATTGTGATACTGATACCAGTGTGCTGTGTAATATTTGTACTGTTCCCAGTTAGACATACAGATGTGTGTGAGATTGTGTAAATTCTCTACCTCTGTACATATTCTGGGGCTTTTGTATCTCACATAATTCTGATGATCCTACTTATTACCTTATTAATAAAGTAACTTAAATAAGATACTTTACCAGACATTGATAAGCTGTTCAAACATTTTCAGTGGAGGAAGGACATGAAGGCCTTACCCATTTCCTAATGAATGAGATCATCAAGCTCCAGCAGCAGGTGAAGACAAAAGATGTGCAGCGCTGTGAGCTCCTGGCCAAGTCCCGCCAGCTGGAGGATGAGAGAAAGCAGCTAAAGCTGAACAAGATAGAGCTGCTGACCTTCCAGGAGAGATACAACAAGATGAAGGAGGAGAGGAATAACTACAATGATGAGCTGGTCAAGGTGAAAGATGAGAACTACAACCTGGCCATGAGATATGCCCAGCTGAGTGACGAGAAGAGCATGGCTGTGATAAGGAGCCGGGACCTGCAGCTGGAGGTGAGACAAATGCTCTGGGCAGCAATGGAGGAAGCCAGTGGCATCTGGGAAAATGAGATCTTCTCTGACAGCAGAAAGATGTGAAGCTCTCATTTGCTTTGCTTATCTAGATGATTGAAGGTATCACTGCACAGAAATGCCAATTGCGGTGAGGTATATTAATGGCAGATATTGAATTAACAGAACAGAATGCAAATAAAAATAAAATATAAAACATAACTGCTTGCTAAAACCTTAATTTTAGCTTTTTTAGGCTCAGTAATATCTTGGCACAGTTATCCAGCAGCACTGCAGCTGAGGGGGATTTATTCAGAAAGATAATCCTGAATTTTCTCCTGTTTTTCCTGATCCAAATAGTCCACGTGCAAAAAGCACAATGTGTGGTCAGCCTTTTACATGTTAATTCTGTTTCATGTCTCTTTACTTATTGGAGGATTGAGAATATGCAACTTTTTTTTAGTCCAGGTATTCTAAAATTTCACAACCAGCCCATATGAGTTGTAGCTGGCAAGTAGCAGGTTTGTACTTGAGACTTCACCAGTTCATTGGGGACTTTCAGTACCCAATTATCAACCTCTCGTTAGCATTCACAGTTTAAGCTATTTTCCCCTGTATGTTTTTTGAGAGCACTAAATGTCCTCTCCTCTTTCTCCTTTTCTCTGCTCCCTCTAGATTGACCAGCTGAAGCATCGCTTGAACAAGGTGGAAGAGGAGTGCAAGCTGGAGAGGAACCAGTCCTTGAAGCTGAAAAATGATATTGAAAACCGACCCAAAAAGGAACAGGTTCTGGAGCTGGAGAGGGAAAATGAGATGATGAAGACTAAAATCCAGGAGTTACAGTCCATCATTCAGGTACAAAAGCAGATTGCTGCCTTTAAAATCCAAACTCACACATTCTCCAGTTACAGTGCAGGAGGTGTTGGCTGAAACCTCTGCCTGCAAAGCTGCAACCAGCAGAAGTGCAAAGTTTGGACAGACAGAAGGCTGCTTGTACAGCTCCCAGCTGCCTGGAGTGCTCCCTGTGCAGACACATGCATGAGGAGGAGTTCTGCAAAAATAGTCCTCTAAAAAAATCAAGTGTACATGAGAAATTGGCTCTTCCAAGAGCGCAGTGTTTAATTGCTGAACATTGTACCAGCCTGTCACTACAAATCTGCGTTAAACAGCCAGCACAGAAATTTCTGACAGTGGCTCTGGGTACCCTGTGTTAGGCTGTTGTCATATCTTTGACAAAAGGTTTTAATAAAGCAGAGGATGATAAAGGTTCCTGTACTTGAGGGTCACTAAGTGCCAGGATGTCCTGCAGAACCCTGCTGTAACCTGCACAGGGTGCTTCACCAACCTTTGTTTGGGCAGGTAGGGAAAACAGTTGATGTGCAACACATTTAGGACTCCTCTGTGAACAACTTAGCCAAATATTGGGATATATGTGAGATTACTTAGCACTTTGTTAGAAAAGGCTTGGGGCATTTTAAATTATCAGCAGAAGGCCTTTCAGAAATGGCTGTAGCCTCTAGCAGTGCCTAACAATTCTTAGTTCTGACATAAATCCAATTCAAAGGTTGAAAAAGAGTGTAGAATAGAAGATTCTGAGAGTTCTGGTTCATGTAGGTCTCTTATATTAATTGAAATGGTCTTACAGCACTTAAAGAAACAGAGAAATAGCTAAAAATAGGATTTAAATTCTCTTAAGTGAAAGTATAAATAAACTTGAAGCAGTTTGGTTTAGAAATGCTTAGGTATGCTTAGAAATACTGGGTAACTTAAATATCCCTGAAACCTCCAACTCAGTGTAGGTATTTCAAAAATAAATATGCATAATCCTTGCTAGCATTTTATGCTTTTTTCATCTTCCATTTATGGTTAATTTTGGATGGCAATTATGTGTTGGAACCTGCTTTGGTAATCTTGTTCATTTTAAATCTACAAGAAATTATATTCCTGGATGGTGTAGAAAATGAAGCAGTGGTACAAGGTACTCCAGGCATGTTTAATATTCTCTGAGCACAGCCTTGCAAACCTGTGCCTGCCTTAAAAATTCTCCTGAATATTTTCTTAGGCCCTGCTCTTTGGAAAAGGGTGATTTTTGTGCTCAGTGAGAGCTGATTAATAGAAAAGGGTTTTGAATGCAGGGCTTGGAGTGAAGAATTGTGGCTGCATCCAAACTGGATCAAATTATAGCCAGTACAATAGACCAGTAAAACAGTTCCTTCATCAGACTATTCTGACAGCAAGACAGATTTTATTCATCTTTTCTGACACTGCTTTAAAATATGAACAAATGTCCATCTTTTCTCCTTCTTTCCCATTGCAGTACCTTCTTCATTTGCTATTCCTCTTGCTTGTTACTGTCTCTGATACTTCTCTCCCTGCAAAACTACTTTCTGTTTCCCTGGCCTGCCTCTAAAAAATGTCTTTCCTCAGGCTGACAAGAGGGGTTTGCCAGATTCAGACAAAGCCATTTTGGATATCCTGGAACACGACCGTAAGGAGGCACTGGAGGATCGCCATGAGCTGGTCAACAAGATCTTCAATCTCCAAGAGGAGATTCGTCATGTGGAGGACTTGAGAGACAAGGTGAGGAATGGAAGAGTAGAGAGATGGAATATCTCAGGCTGGTGCCCAAAATGCCTCTGAAAGCACTGGTGGCTAACAGTTTGTCATTTCCAGTATCTTGAGGAGAAAGAAGATTTGGAGTTAAAGTGCTCAACACTAGGAAAAGACTGTGAGATGTACAAGCACCGCATGAACACGGTGATGATACAGCTGGAAGAGGTGGAAAAGGAGCGGGACCAGGTATCTCACAATTAAAGTAGGGGAATATCAATAGCAAAAGCCTCTATCTGCTCTGTGTCACTTTGGGGAATTGTAGGTAATTGGGCCCAAAATACCATTATAAAATAAGCAGTTAAAAGAATTACTTGTTGGGATTTACATTATGGTAATTAAACACAGGGTAATATTGGGTTGTTTCCACAGTGTAGCATCTGGCAGGCAGGACCAGGATCTTAAAAACAGCTCCTGTAAGGCTTTACATCAGTGTCAAGTCACCCCATTTGCACTCTGGGATATTTTCCCACCAACCCAGAGGGAGCTGTAAATGAACCACCCTCATCGTCATAATTTTTAATGGTGCTACTGTGGCACATGCTGGTCCTGATTGCTGTGTTAATGGGTGACTGGGTGCCACTTCTGAAGTCCCCGTTGCCAACACCTCCCAAACAAAAGCAGCAGGAGCAGGATGTGCTGCCCAGGTGCCAAGGAGGTTTCGTGCCCCGCTGCAGGCGTTCCGCTCGCGTGACGAGGCTCAGACCCAGTACTCCCACTGCCTGATTGAGAAGGACAAGTACAGGAAGCAGATCCGGGAGCTGGAGGAGAGGAACGACGAGCTGCGGATCGAGGTGGTGCGCAAGGAAGCGTGCATCGTCAACCTGGAGTGCAAACTGCGGCGCCTCTCCAAGGACAGCAACTTCCTCGACCAGGTAGGGCTGGGCAAGACAGACAGCAGCTCTTTTGTTCACAGAATTCACAGAATGACCAGGTTGGGAGAGATCTTAAAGATCATCAAGTCCAACCCAGCCCTGACACCTCAACTAAACCCTGGCACCCAGTGCCACATCCAATCTTTTCTTAAACACACCCAGGGATGGTGACTCCACCACCCCCCAGGCAGACCATTCCAGAGCTTTATCACCCTTTCTGTAAAATTTTTTTTCCTAATATCCAACCCATATTTCCCTTGGCACAGCTTGAGACTGTGTCCTCAGTCTGGTTCTGTCAGTTGCTGCCTGGTGAGAGACCAACCCCACCTGACTGCAACCACCTTTCGGGGAGTTGTAGGGTGATAAGGAAGAGACTCGTTAAGACTTGCTTTTACAAACATTTTGGTCTTGAAGGGAAAGAGGATTTTCTAATTCGCTCCATGAATTAACTGGAAAAAAAAAATCCTACTAAATGTCAGTGTTGTGAATTCTTTGCTATAATGCTTTTCAAGCTGTCTGTTATGCACATGGCTTCCCAAAGGCTGCCACTCCACAGCTTGACTTTAAATGGAGGGGGGAAATGCAGGAAAATAATTATTTTCTACACTGGGGTAGAAGCTACAAATATTTTTTAGGAACGTGAGTGAAAAAGAATTCAGTCTGTGAACAGAAATCTCCACAAATCTCAGCCCAAATTACTGATAGGTCTGGAGCCACATTCGATGTGAGCTCCTGAAGCACTGGAGTTGCAATAGGTTCAATTAGATTACTCTAAAGGAAGGTTATGAGTTTGTTGTACCAAACTGGTCTCAAAAGCAAAGTGTTCCCTTGTGATCTTTAGAGTTTGCCACGGAATCTCCCCATCACCATTATCTCCCAAGCCTTTGAGAGCTCTGGCCCAAAAGCCAATGGTCAGGAAGCCGATGACTCCTCCACTTCTGAGGACTCTCCAGAAGACAACAAATTCTTTTTGCCTGATCAAGTTCGCCTCAAGAGAAGAGTGAACCTAAAGGGGATCCAGGTGGGTCTGAATCCGAGGCTGGAATAACACAGAGCAGGGACTTTGAGAATTATCAGACATAACACATGTTGTAGCTGTGCCTCTGAAACTTCTGTAAAGATAAGAATAGATCTGTGTATGATAGTGAGCTGTGTCTGATAGTTTTTGCCCTGTGGTGATTTGCATCTTGAGGAGCAGATCTAATCTGGCTTCATAGACTCTTTTCTGTCCCTTCTCCCCATTTTCTCTTTTCTTCTTGCTTCTGCTGTTCATTCACATTCTTGGAGCGTTGTCAATAAATTGATTCTTTGCCTCCTTAACATTAGTGGGAAAAAAAATGACATAATGCCTGAGGTCCAACACACACTGAAGGTGAAAAAAAAGTGTTGGTGGAAAAGCTCTCAGCAGCTGGAAGGAAAAATAGAAAGAAATGGACAAAATCTAGAGCAAAATTAACTATCTAATTTAGAATTAAATAATGGCAATTTCCTCACCCCTAACAGGAAGGGGGCAGCATGAATTAGGTTCATGCTTTCCCCGACTAGCTGCATTCACATGGCTATTATCTGGTGTTGGGTTCACGATCTGTAAAAAAAACCCACAAAAATCTAACATTTGGGCTTTTGAGGTTCTCTTCCCTTTCATCTGCACTTGAATTCTCCCTGCCCTTCATAACCTTTCTGAGCTCTGACTGTCGTTATTACTTGTGGCAATAGAGCTGTATTTTTCACATTGCACACTCCAAAAGGATGCCTGTTGTATTAGCAGTTGCCTGAAACCAGTCCCAAGGCACCCACTTCACCTTTTGTCTCTTTTTTCTTCAGCAGAATCTGGAAATTGCAATGCATTTGGGCCAGGCATTCAAAAGTAGCCAGGTTGCTCACACTCCATCACTGTTGTTGTATTTAGAAATCTAAATATCTTCTAAACTTTGGGTCCTGTTATTTAAAGGAGGGCAAGTATATTACAATATAACACTGAAAAAAGGTGCTGAAAATATCTGGTTTACAGTGTGTGGTAAATATTCTGCATTTGTGCTGATTTTTGTCCTCTTTCTTTTAGATAAGTCCAAGAGCTAAATCTCCTGTCAGCATGAACAAAACATCAGAGTTTCAAGGTCAGAAAGAACACCCATATCCTTATTCCTTTTCCATTGCTTTGTCTCTTTCACTTAATCTCTTTAAGTTGTTTAAACAAATATGCCAACCAGGGAAATTCTTAACTAAGCCCAAGTCAGTAAAAAAAAACCAAAACAGTTTCTCTCACAGTTACAAATGTAATGATTAAAAGTGGTCAAGAGTTCTACTTCATTGTCCTCTCCAAAGTACCTGTCCAAAGGTACCTCCCCAGGCACACGATGTGCATCCCATAGCTTACCTAAATTTTCTGTTTATTCAATTTTCCATTTAGTTTACAAAAGTTGTAAAGTCATTTGTGAAACATCTGTACTAAAAATCATTATACCATTCTCCTTTTGCTGTTGGAAAAATCATTCAAGCTGAAAAGGCCCTAATCTAGTGATTGTCTAATGAGTTTCTTTGTCCTTCAGCAAAAAGGAATTAATTTTACTTCTAGAACATTGCAAAGGCTGGGAGAGAGGGATTGACCCATGCCCCAGCCAGCTGCCAAGTTACCAAATTTGTTGCTGTACACTCATGTTTGAGCTACTCCTAATTCCTCTTGTTTGTGTAACACTACCCCTGAAACACCAAACCCATCAGAGGCAGCACTTCTTTTAGTAGTTGTGTGAGGCCCTGTTGGATAAAATATCCTGGGGAACACGGCTCCTGTTCCAAGGAATTCCATGTCAAACAGCAGCTTTGCTGTCAGGCAGTGAGCAGCAGTAGTACCAATCAGAGGTGCTGAGGAAGGGAAGGAGCCCACATCCACTCTGTGTAACCTGGGACTGCTGAGGCATCTCAGGCTTCTTGGTCCTTGATGTAGATTCTTTGTTGTAACAAAGTGTAATTCAAGAAGCCAACCTTGCAAATTGTCAGATTCAGGTGGTATAATTAAAACATAAATTCATGAAACCATCATTCTTTAATTTGTCAAATAGCATTCACAGATCTATTAAAAACACCCAGGACAGAGCTGAGAGACAAAGTGGGCAGGAGTGTGTGCAGAGGGTGGGAATTTCTGTGCTTTGGTGGGAACTGTTGGGCAATGGGAGCCAGAGCTGCAGGGCAGGGGTGTGTCCAGGGCCCCTGTCCAGTACAAGACCAGCTGAAATGGAAAGGGAACATAAGTGCAGTGGCACACCTGTGAAAGGCTCTGCATTGGAAGGGCTCTGACATGCTTCTCTCTGTGTGTTTTCTCTGTGTGCTCCCCTTGTCCCTGTGAGTGCAGCAGCCAGAGCACAGGATGAAGATGGGGCCGAGGGCAGCACTGGCCGCACGGACACGAGCTCCTCTGTGTCCATCAGCAACTCCATCAGCAGCTGTGAAGTCACCAAGATTGTAAGGATGCCCCTTGCCTGCTTACAGCCATCTCTCCTAATGTGGTTCAGAGCTTGCACAACTCAGTATTAGCCCTTCCCCAGCATCCCAGCTGTGATCCCATTCAAGGCCCTTGTCAGAAGCTCCCTTAATCCTGTTACCAGCATTTTGTTAGAACTATGTTATTAGCCTTTCCCAAAATCACAGAATTGGTTTATGTTTATTTAAAGATATTTCAGAGGTATTTATGACCTCTTGCTGTCTCCCTATGCCATTTAACATTTACTGTTAGAAGAAAGAGATTTGCTTTAAAAGCTGCTTTGTAACTTATCTGAGAAAATTTTAAGGGTTTTTGAGTTCTATAACACTTTTCCTGTCTATAAGTAACAGCGAGTGAGGAAAGGGGTGCAGATCACAGTTGGAAATTTCTGCATACCATAGTCAAACCATTTCTTCCCTGCTTGCTGTATCCCCATAATCTTCCAAGGTAGATATTCCATTATACATATGTGAGCACTGACACAGCAGGACAGGCAGATAGAGAGAGTGCTCTTGCAGAGTGTTAATAACAAAGAACAAAACATCTTTCTAGAACACTGTGAAAAATGCTGCCCCCAGGAAATTAAAATTATACTCAAGAATAGCCAGGAAAGAACATGCTGCCACTCATAATAAGCTTAGCTAGGTTAGGAATATTTTTTGGAATATCTGTTGGATGTTTAGATGACTTATACTGTTTTCCCTCTAGTGCAATTCAGGGTTTCCAGTGCACTGGAAGATTAATTATTTAATATACAGACATCTGTATTTTTCTTCCTCATTCCAACTACATGTATATTTATATAAGTACACATACTGCTTTTCATCCCCCTCCTCCTATGTCAGCTGTGCCACACACAGAAGTAAAGTTACAATGGCTCAGTAAATCAGGCAATTGTGTGGTCACAGGAGAAGGTGCAGTGCCAGCACACAAGCTGTGCATTGTGCTAAAAACTGGGATAAATGAGTGCTTTTGGATTCTGCACAGCTAGAATCAACTTCTCTCCTTTTTCTGTGTGTGCTTCTCAGAGCAGGGTACAGCCAATGCAGAGCACCCTTGCTAACGCTGCTGTGAGTCACAAGTGAGAGCACCTTTCAGCTAGATAGCCTTTCTGACACCTTTTGTTTTCTCATTGACAGCAAACCCTGCGGAGCCGCAACGACAGCATCATGTCCACCACCCCCGAGCCGCCCGGCAACGACTCCATCGTGCGGCGCTGCAAGGAGGACACCCCTCACTGCAGGTGGGGACACCTGCCCTGGGCCTGCTGCCACGGGGACAGGGGACAAGGGGCTCTAGAGCTCCTCTAGAGGTTGGAGAGCCTCTACAGAATTCACAGAATTCACAGAATCACTGGGTTGGAAGAGACCTTAAAGATCATCAAACCCAACCCATGCCCTAACATCTCAACTAAACCATGTCACTGAGTGCCACATGCAATCTTTTCTTAAACACACCCAGGGATGTGTTTAAAACCACCTTTCCGGGCAGGCCATTCCAGAACTTTATCACCCTTTCTGTAAAAATACTTTTTCCTTATATCCAACCTATATTTCCCTTGGCACAGCTTGTCCTCTGGTTCTGTCTCTACGGCATAGGATTAACCTAAGCTTCTCAAGGCTCAGCCCTTCATCCCACATTTTGTCCAAAGCACTCAGGAATGTCTGAAGTTCAGCTGGGATGAATGACACAGTGGCAGCACTGCAGCACTGACTGTAATGGACAGAAACACAAACAGGACTAGAACACCTCAGCACTATTGGAGAGAGTGCTCTCCCTACATTTCTACACTGATCCAGCTTCAGTTTTTGCCCCTCAGCTCCCTGCTGCCCACATGTCCCAGCTCCTTCCCCTTCTCTCAAAGCCCCCCCTTCTCTCTGGAAGCTGCAGAAGTAGAGCAGAGCTGCTTGCAAGTCTGTGAGGAGTGAGGGGAGAAGCGGAGGAGGGAGCTGGGTTTTGTGAGTCTCAGGCTTTGTTTCTCAGCAGAGAAGGGAGGGAAGAGAGGCTTTGCCCTTGGCTTCACCTTCTGCTGCAGCTTCCACTTCTGCCAGGTCAGGGCCCCTGGAGTTCCCCTGGCAGTGAAATCACATCAGCTGGTGAGTGGGAAGTTGGTGGCAGGAAGGAAGGAGTCCTCTCCAGCCTCACAGTTCCCTAAAGGGCACTGACCCCTTCTCTAAAAGGGTTTTTGCAATGTGATACTCAGACATGCTGTGCTGGTGTGGTGTCAATAGCATCAGTGTCTGCATCAGAAATACCAGGAGACACAAATACATTCCCTAAAGGAGAAAAGAACAGACCAGACCAATTTAGAAGAAAGCAATATATATGGAAGGTTTAAATCTTTATTAGATCTGGTTTTAATATCTAATCTTTATTAAAACTTTATTCAGATTTTTATGTTTGTCAAAACAATCTGATCTTGGGCAGGCTGCCACTTCTGCCTCTCTCTCTGGACAGCTTTGTAAGACAGCTTTCCACTGAGGACATCCTCAGCTGGTTCTCCCACATAATTTTCTAGGCTGCTGAGGATTTAAGCAGTGTTTATTTTAGTCTCCCTTAGCTTCTCCTTCAATGTCCTCCAAGTCCCTTTTTAAAGTGTGTTGTAACAATTCAAGATGGAGAAAAGGGGGTTTTTATTAATGATTTGAATGTTTTGTGCTTCAGGTGCTTGAGAAGCCTTTGGCATGCCTGAACTTTTCAATATTTGCAGTGTATTACAGAACACAGTGGAGATTACATGGAGATTATTCAGCTTGTGGACTTATTTCACTGTAACTCTGACTGTATTCTGTTCTGTGTGTTAAGGCATTGGAAGACTGAGTGGTACTGAAATGTGAATTTTCCTCTCATATTAGATATTCTTCATGTGGAAAGAACAGGTACCCTGGAACAAGGTCTGAATGGGGACTTGCTTTGTTGAGCTGGTAATCACTAAAGTCAAGTATCTCAAGAGCCTGCCCAAAAGTTCCGTGTAGTTTATAACTTTATAATTAGCATGATAAATTTTTGGAACTTATTTGTGAACATAATCCAGAATAATTGCTGTTTGCAAGCCAAGTTGCAGGTTTCACAGTTCATCTCTTCTTAATTTGTGTGGAAAAAAAAAGGTGAGATCATCATTTAATGTAGGAAAAGGTACATTATTTCCCTGCTTATGCATGGAGTAAAAATAGCTGATCCTCTGCAGCCTGGCTGCAAAAATTCACCCTTCAGCTGAAGCCAAATATGAGAAATATCAGCTCCACAGGAGACCTACAAATCATTTTGAATGGGAAAAACAACAAGCTGTTATTTAAACAGCTTTGCAACCAAAGGACATGCTTTAATGAAGTCCTTCCAGTGAAGCTGTCAGATCACTCACTTGGCTGGGCAGCCCCAATACCCCTGTAAGAGCAAAATTTTAGTGACCTTAGAGTGGCTTTAAGGCCAGCCAACCCAGTCACCTCTGCAGGAAAGGCAGTGTCACTGCCTGGGAGCTGGGCTGGGACCAGAGCTGTGGCAGCTCCTGTGCAGGAGCCTGGAGCATTTTGCCATTCTGTACTGCAGGTACCTGAGTAGCTATGAGAGCTACCCTGAAACTGCTATGAAATGCTTCAAGCACTTTAAATCAAGCAGATAAATTATTCCTCTTCTGCTGCACCTCAGTAACTTCCCTTGCATTCACTCTGTCCATCAGTGAACTTCTGGCTTTTTGCTCAGTTGTGGAAAACCCCCATGGTGCAGTGCATGCACAGCAGGCATGGTGCAGCCCTTTATCTCTGTGCTGAACCAAGTGTGTGTGAGTCACACACCAGACCAGCCAGCAGCTTCCTGTTGTCCCCAGCAAAATCTTCATTCCCTCACTGCTGTTGGCCGTTCTTCCTTCTGAACTTTCTTGCTGTTTCACATGTTTCCCATGCTGGCTGACGCATGTTGTCTCCTGCCCTTTTCTGTATTTTCCTGGACCCTCAAGGATATTATTTGCTTATTTTTTTGCAGCTGCACCATTGCCTGATGCAACACTTCCAACATCTTCCTTTTTCACAGAAGAAGTTCCTCCTTCAGAATTTAATGAAATGTACTGAAGCTGGAAATCTGCTGAAAGCTTGAAAGTGTCTTCAAAGTGTCTTGCTGAAAGCTTTCTCTGTCTTCCATTATCTCATGCTTTGTTTTTAATTCCAGCCTGGTTGAAGAGGACAATGACAGTTTTGGATGTGATGCTTTGGAGATGGATGGTAAGCAAGAGGATATCATGTGTAATTGAAATATGAGCTAATATGTGATCAGCTCCCCAGCTAGAGAGATTGTCAGATAACCAGCCCTGCTCTAAGTAAATGGGACACACAGCCTGTGAGTAATTCAAGGAAACAAAAGGTCAGCCAGTGGTGAGAAGGGGAAAGCAGTCCTGAAGATCTAAGAGGGAAAAGCCTTAGTTTTGTTGCCACAAGGGTGTTCAAACACTGGAACAGGGTTGTCCAGAGAGTTTTAGTCAAACTCTTCATCCTTGGAGATATCAGAACACAGCTGGACAAAGTCCTGAGCAATCTTCTTGAGCTGACCCTGCACTGACCTTTGACTAGAAGCCTCCAGAGGTCCCTTCCCACTTTCTGTTCTGTGAGAGTGGCATTCCTTGTGCCATGTCCTGTGGATATGAATCACATCTCTGTGTGAAGAATTTCCTACTTCAACTTTGGCTGGGATCAATTAAAATTAATTTTCCTCTTTTCCATCTTTGTCACTTTATCTAGGACTCATTATCATTCTTGTTACTCTTTCCAGATGACAGTCATGACAGGCATTCACATGGAGCTCCTTCAGTGCACTCTTCCTCTTCTTCTCATCAGTCAGAAGGCCTGGATGCCTATGATCTTGAGCATGTCAACTCCATATTTAGAAAGTTCTCTCTGGAAAGGTATTTGAGATGCCATTTTACTTACCTTAGAGACTGAGAGGAAAGGGTGCTGTGGTAGAAACTCTATTTATTTATTAGTTGCTGAAGTTATAACAGCAGGAGTGATTATGGTGGCAGCAGTATAACGCTATCTTGGAGCCCTTTCATGTTCTGTAAACCCATGAAGGTCAGCCTGAAAATTCAAAAACTTCAAGGCAGACAAAATGTTCTAAAGGTTTCCATTTCTCCTTGTGATCTTGCTATCTTGCTGCAAAACTTGCTGAGTGGAGAGCTGTTATACACTGAATTTTCAGAGATGCTTTTCTCCAGAACTTTTGTGGTAACAAGAGGGTTTGCTTTCAGAGTCCTTAGATCCTAGTGCTTGATAAAGCTAGAAGTTTATTTGCATATCTCTCATTTCTGATGCATTCATTTAACTCAGAGTGAGATAACCAGTTGTCCCTTCCTGTCCTGGACACAGACCCTTCCGTCCCTCTGTCACGTCCGTGGGCCGCATCAGGAGCTCGTGTCACACAGTGCAGCGCGTGACGCTCAACGGGGACAGCCTCAACTCAGAGATCACCCTGCTGGGGGGCAATGACAAAGGCAGCTTCGTCAGCTCGGTCAAGACAGGCTCCCTGGCAGAGAAAGCTGGCCTTCGGGAGGGGCACCAGATCCTCCTGGTGAGCATGGCATTGTCACCAAACCCCTGGCTGTCTGCCCACCCACCTATGCTGTCCCTGGCATCGCATGAGCCCAAGTTCAACAATGCTTCTGCCAAGTTTCTCTTTACTTAGTTTTCCCTCCATTGCCAATGTTCCCAAGCCATTTCCCTGTTCAAATGCCTCCAAGGGGAGAAAAAATGTCCCCCACAATTTATATTCCTGCACTTCTTACTCCCAGAGAAGCCTGGGATTGTGCAAGTGCTGCAGCTCTGTTGACTGCTAGCATTCCTAATTTGAGAGAAAAATAATTATATAATTAGAACATAATCTGCATTCTGATAACAAAGTGTCTGCATTGTTTAATAAGAAAAAGATCATGGCACTTTAAAAAAATGGTTTAATTGACTCAGAGATTGAACTTGCACTGAAGAGTAATATTTCTTTCATATATAGTTGGAGGGCTGCATTAAAGGGGAAAATCAAAGTGTTCCTTTGGATACTTGCACAAAGGAAGAAGTTCACTGGACAATTCAGAGGTGCAGTGGTCCAGTGACACTCCAGTATAAATCAAATCATGAAGGTAAGAACAAAGGTATTTCTTATCTCAAGTAGTTCCAGGACTTTTATAGCAACTTGTCTGAAAGAGAGTGACAGGAGCAGCATATCCTTTGTATTGGGATAAATCTGGAGCATGCCACTGGTGTTAATTACAGCTCCTCTGTGGAACTGCTTCAGCTTTTAGCCTGCTGTCTGAGAAAAAACAACAACATGTGCTTGTCAACAGGAGTCTGAAAAATTTACATGGTGGCCAATAGCAACATGACTCATGAAACACACTCGAGCTTATTTTTATGTACAGTTTTCTGCAATACGATGCAGTGAGCTGAGTGATCTTTATCCAGCTGGTCGATTTAGCATTTACCTGATGGAGTTGCCCTGTTTATTACCTTTGTGGCTTTATCTTATCTTTAACAGCTGGAGTTCATGTGCAGCGAATAGAATTTGATTTTAGTGTTCAGGTTCTATAATGATAATTTCAGGTTATGGATCAAAAATTACATTCCAAAATTCATTCTTTACTGGTGTGTATAAGTGGGCATTCATGTTTTTTTGTGCTGGTTAGAGAATTTCAGCTGCATAGATCATGCAGGAAGTGATGCCTTTGATTTTCTTTGATGTTTTCAATTGTAGGAAAGACTATTGCAATTTTTTGAGCATCACTTAACTGCAGATAAAGCATGTTATAGATTCTGGGAGTGCCAATTAGAGCTAATAATAAGGAGAATAGCTTGTCATTAAAATTGGTGGCAGAACTCACGCGGTACTTAGAGGGCAGAGCTGTATCTGTGTCTGTGTCTTTGCTGAGAAGTTCTTTGTTCCACAGGTCATGTGGGGAGTACTGAGAATGGACTTACCTAAAAGTAGCATTATAATGAGAATATTCCCACAGAGCTGACAGCAGCAGCATGGGCTGTCCCTGAGCCAGTGCCCTCAGTGTCTCTGAGGTGCAGGCCCAGGAACTCCTGCAAGCAGCACTCTGGAAGTACGAACCTCTCTCAGAGGAACCTCAGGAGTTTGTGCTGTGGCTTCTCCCAGAGGGAAAGCAGCAGCAGTGGGAGCTCCTGCCTCACCCTTCCCTCCTGCTGCAGGGTACCGCAAGCTGCTGTCGGAGCTGGAGGAGGGGCTCATCACCTCGGGGGACTCGTTCCACATCCGCCTCAACCTGAACATCTCCAGCCAGCTGGACTGCTGCTCCCTGTCCGTGAAATGTGATGAGATTGTCCACATTCTGGACACCATGTACCAGGGCAGGTGTGAGTGGCTGTGTGCCAGGGTGGATCCCTTCACTGACAGGGACCTGGAGATGGGGACCATTCCCAGCTACAGCAGGTGAGAGTGATACTGAGTGACCATGACTGAGAGCAGGGATCTAGAAACAGGGAACTTAATTACTGCTGTAAGGAAAGAGGTGTCTATGTCTTAAATTTTGAGATAAGATCTGATGTAAAACTATAGTATGAGCTCTAAAACTTAAGAACAGTGATTCCAGATGTTACCTGAAAAAATGGAGTCCCTCAAAAAGTATCATATGCAAATATTCCATGGATATTCTTTAGTTCTTTACTGAACTGCAGTCCTTCCTATTGTTTTGCTCCTGCCTTTACTGCATGGTGCAGTCAGTCCTCACTGCTATTTCTATTTCATCTTTTCTGTAGGCACAAACCCGATGCAATCCAGCTTTCTTGTGAGTGCTTTCAAAAATATCTTGATCTGTGTGATTTCATCCTTTCTTTCAGAGCCCAGCAACTCCTTTTGGTGAAGCTGCAGCGGTTGATGCACAGAGGAAGCAAAGATGAGACAGAAAACTCCTACAACACCCTACGGGCCCTGCGGGTAAGTGTCTGCCAACAAAGTCCTTTTAACACCTCATACTCCCCTGCTATTGGTTTTTCATTTTTCATTTTTCATCATCATTTTACAGAAAATCCTGTTTACACTCTCTGTAGGTTTTGATTGTATCAGGCAATGGGCACCTTCTGTTTGCTTTAAATAATATTGTCCCTGGGAATGAACCCAGCTCTGGCTCACTATTCACCCTTCAGCTAGGAGGGACTACACTTAAAAAGTCCAAACTGTGTTCTGTGTGTTAGTCACCCTTCTCATGCTTCGCTACCTGTAAACATTGAATGCATCTGCATGTACACATGAGGAATAAGCTGTGTCCTTGCAGTTAATAAACAGAATTCTTTCTCTCCTGTGGTGAATAAGCCTCTAAACCATAGAGTCTTGTCCCTCTTTAGAAAGACCTGTCTCTTCCATCCTGGATGCTGTGGAGAGAATTGGGATAATCAGGCCTTCACACACAGCAGCCCTTCAAATTTTCCCCTTTCCATCACTAAAAGCATTTTTAGACCCCAAAATTCCATTTTTACATAATTAAAACTGCCTTCCTGGTGTGTTAGTTACCATAAGTTATTTTTAGAGTCTGGGAGACATTCATGCTTCTAAGTTTTACAGACACAGGTAGACAGTGCTTGTGCTTGATTTCAGTCAAGGTTGAGTGTCACACATTCCTTCTGTGCTCACGGCCCCACTGATCAAAGGGACAAAGATCACTGGCAGGGGTGCTTGTGAAAGCCAAAGCTGTGCATGCTCTTTCTTAGTGCAGAAATTAACTCTTTCTTAGGTGTGGAGAGCAGTCTATGAACAAAGGAATGTGAAGAGCAGTGAAAAGGCAATGTTTGTCAGCACAGGCCGTGCCATGCCCACTGTTTGTTTAGAACATTGTATTTGGGATAGGTAGAAATCACTATCCCTTTTATTGGAAATAGAAAATATCTGGTTTGGCTTTTTTTGTTTCTCAAATTTTATGATTAAAAAATACAAAAAAGAGCAGGGATGAGAAGATCTCCTGAATTATTTTTTACCAGAATACATTGCAGCCAGAGGAGCCTGCCCTGCAGAGTGACCCCAAAACCAGCCCTCGCCTATCCAGAGCAAGCTTTCTTTTGGGCCAGATTTTACAGGTAATAAAGTTCAAATCCTCAGTGCAATCTCTGAAATAGTGGATCTGAACTGTAGATATTCTCAGGCTATCCTAATTTGCCCAGAAGTCCCAGCTCAGGTCTAGAGGTTGTATTGGAATTTATTCCTATCAAAAGAGATTTAATGCATGAAGAAGGATGGGTTGTGTTTTCTGTTGTGATGTGGGGTGTTTGTTTTCAAGAGCATGGCTTCCATTATGGATGTACCTCGAGGAATCCCACACATCTGCTATCAGAGGCTGAAATGTGCTTTGTTTGTACCATAAGAACAAATCCAATGGGCTAGATCAAATCTCCAAGTGTCTGAGATAGGACTCCATCAGAAAATAGTCCTTTAATTGTGGGCCAGTGACTCTGAGAATGACAGAGAGTGTATGGGTGAAAGATAAAGCTTTGAGAAGGAAGGTGATAGGGAAAGGTTAGCAAATACACAGGAGGAGTTTGTGTTTGGATAGAGGAATAGGTGGGTGGATGAGGAAGGAAAGCATGAAGCCTATTTCTCATGTAAAATGACTGTAAAAAGATGCCATTTGGGAGGTTTTAAGTCTCTCTGGTAGAGCAAAGAAGAGGCAGTTTGGGTATAGCCTGTGATACATTTGTGCATATACTCTGTGTGTGATATACACATCAGTGCTTGTACTGATGATAGCAGGGAGCTCTGTGAAGGGAAAACATGCCTCTTAAGAGCAGAGAACAAAACAACAAATCCCAGAGGGGATTAACACAGGCTCTGAAATAGATCTATGATATTTAAAGAGTCTTAGAATTCAGTCCACAGATCCATGGAGTCCTGTCTTTGACAGACACAAGTGATTCAGATCTTGTAGGTAATGAGCGTTGGCTGATGAATACATGGGAGGGTAAATAATGCAAAAAATGAGGTTCAAATCTCTCTTTTTTTTGTTCACCTTTTTAGTTTGTCAGTAGGTCTGAGAACAAATACAAACGAATGAACAGCAACGAGCGGGTCCGCATTGTCACAGGCTGGCCCTCAGGTCTGGCACTGAGCTCATCCGAAGGGAAGAAGCAGCTGCCTGATAAACTGGAAGGTAAAAATCTAAAATAGCCTTTACACACATAGCACTGACACAAAGGCCTACATACACATCTACAGAACAGCATGGCTGTGAAATGTATCACAGGTCTTGCATTTGTGCTCCCTCTGCAAAAGTTCAACAGCAACTGTGACCAAAACTGATTTTGCTAAAAGAGCTTGGGGCAGCTTTAGGCCACTGAAATGTCCTGTTTGGCTGGCACTTCTTCCTAGGTGCTTTCTTGCCATTTGCTCCAAAACATTTAACTTGGAGTAAGTCAAGCTAACAAGCAGAGATTCTCCAAGCAAATGTTGTGTTGAAGAGGTTAAGAAATAATCCCTTGAAAGCAAAAGGCAGTTGAATTATTTACTATTAGATTGACCATCATAGTGCTGTGAGTACAGTAAAGACAACCCCAGTAAAAGGGAAGGAGGACCAGTATGATTAATCATGCCATTTCTGGTTCGTGTGTGTCTCCTTTTTTTTAATCCAATATTGATGGAGAGGAGCCCAGAGGATAAATGTCTTGTTCCTTGCTCAGATTTGGATTCAGAGAGTGAACTGGACAAGAAGCTCAGTCTGATCCCTTACAGCCTGGTGAGACCCATCCACTGTGAGCGCAGGCGCCCCGTGCTCTTCACCCCCACCATGCTGGCCAAGCCCTTGGTGCAGAAGCTTCTCAACTCTGGAGGTGCCCTGGAATTCAACATATGCAAGCCAGGTAATGGGATAAGAGAGGGCCGTGACTGTCAGCTCTCAGTGTTGGAAATACGGACATATATATGCGTGCACACGTAGGGGAATGCACATGTGAGAGTTGCTTGAGGTACTTTGAGTCACATCAGAGTGATGTGTAGCTGTAAATCCTGCTTTTTGAGACTATCTGGGATATTTGAATGTTTTTGAGACAGCCAGTACACATGGTTATGAGATTCTGTGTCTATAAATATTATCCATGTGTATGCTGTGTGGTTGCTAGGCTGCCCCTCAGAGACTGAAATGCTGTGAGTGCTCTTTCTGTTTGCATACTGTTTGCATACTGCATATCTAGGCAATGTGAAATTTTGATTAATTTGTTTCTAGTATTTGCTATTATGAGGAATATCTTCCCTAGAGCAACTTTAGGTTTCTGTCTCATCCAAGCTGTGAAGATTGTGCATTTGATCTACTGGAAAGACTGATTTTCTTCCATGCTAAGTATTTACTATTAAAGCAGTACGCAGTGCCATGATGGCTGCAGGGCAGGATTGTATACAACCCAGCATTAAACAGAGCTGACGTTTCATTTTTACACTAATATTGAATACTCACAGCATAGTATGCAGCCTTACAGTCATCCAGACAGAGAAACTGAGAAGTTAAGTATTATAATAAATATCCTCTGTCTTGCAACATAAAACAAAAGCTTTGATGTAGAGCTGCAATTCACAAGGGGGCCAGTATCACACATTGCAACCTAAGCCAAATTTTTTGGAAACTTTAAACACAAATGTTGGAACACTAAATTCTTGTTTTAGGATCCTGTGCTGAAGAGACCACCTTTTTTTAGCACTTCTCAGCATCCTCCATCCCTGAACTGCTACTATATAACATTAGGTGCTGGAATTGTATTTACTGTTTTAATTTAATGCCTTCATAGTGTTGTAGTAATTGCCCAAGGACTCATTGGTGCAGGATATAGCTGAGATGCTCAGCTGTGATCAGATTAGGCTTTAATTGAATTCAATGGAAGAAATGAGGCAGCTGTTAAGACAATTCATTGCTCATCCTCCTTCCCTGAACATCCTTACATCCCATGTGAAGTACTGCTGGATACTTTTCTGTATGTTCTGCTGCTGTAAATTTGATTCTGTCCCCATCCACATCTCTTCTTAGATATTGTAACAAAGGAAGAGTTCTTGAGGAAGCAAAGGACAGAGACTGTCATCTTCAGCAGAGAAAAGAATCTGAACACGTATGAATGTATTGTACCTGCCAACATCGAGGCTGTTGCTGCCAAGGTGCTCTGTGTCCCTTCTCTGGGCTCTCTGGGAACCCCTCTGCAATGTCCTGCATATCAGACTGACCAATTTACAGTTGCACATTCTCTCTCCTGCCCTCTTTCAGTCTCAGATTTTTATTTATTCCCCCAAATGGCTTTTATTTGTGCTCTTACTTTTCCTTTTCTTTCCCATCCTCAGCCATATCCTTTTATGTTCTCCCTCATTCCCTGTGATGACCCACATAGATGCAGCTAAATATCCTTTCATTTTCCGTGCTCCATCCTTTATTCATTTCCTTTTCATATCATAAGTATATATGAATACACGAGAGAGTAAGAGATACAAGGACCTAGACAAAGGAAAGAGAAGCCTGAAACCCAGACACAAGGGTGTACAGAAAAAAGATAACAATGCCCAAGACAGAGATCTGGTGTCAAGCAGACTAGATTTGATGCACAGCATGGAAAAAAAGGAGAATTAAAGTGATGGTTTTTTGTCTCAGGAGTAGTTGCAGTAGATGTTCTTTCTGAACAAAAAGCAAGTCTCTGTGTTTGGGTCTATATGTAAAACTGGTGTTTTATCATACTTTTCATCTTTAGAGCATTCCATTTCCATTTTAAACCTTTTTAGAAAGCTGTTAAGCTCAGCTGTTATTTGACTGACTAGTTTTAAGCCAGTAGGAGGAGCTGGACTTTAAATGTATATTTGATTAAAAGGTTTTAAATCAGTACAATGGTAAATAGAGAGGCTTCCAAATCACCCCATAAGGGATAGATATCATTATCTTGAGATTCCACAGCAGTGAATTTTCCTTTGTGACACTGTTATGACTTTGTTTTTAGAACAAGCATTGTCTCCTGGAAGCTGGAATAAGCTGCACGAAGGATTTAATCAAAGCCAAGATATATCCTATTGTTCTCTTTATAAGAGTCTCAGAGAAAAACATCAAGAGGTTCAGGTAACATGTCAAACCTTTTGCATATTTGATGTTCCATCTTATTCAGTGAATAATTCTTGAGTCCAATAATGTTCTCACTGAGAGAAATAAAGACCCTCATCCTCTCCATCTGGTACTTCTATGTGCACTATTTCCTCCCATGACTCCTCTCTGAAATCTTACAACTGGAGAAAGCAGGAATTCCCCAAATCTGGTACTCTTTCACTGTCACTGGTGGCAATGAGCATTGTGGGAGGATGAGACCGAAGAAAATGTGGTTTTCTCCATGCTCAGCACTCCCACAGCATTTCTTAAGGTAATGCAAGCTGGAAGAGGAGAGCTCGTAAACACTTGCACTCTCCCTCCATTCAATCCTCTGAAATTGTTTCCCCATAGCAAATAATTCTCCTTGGGGGCAGCATGGAGGTAAAGGGATGGTAGACCTGCAGTAGCTGCATTCTTCACTGCTTTTATTGCTTGTAAGTAGTTAGGAGAAAATAAATTCTTGATGGGGCAGCTGGGACTACAGGATTAACTTAAAATCCAAGACATTTATTTCTGGTCTGCTCATTTGATGCAGGAAGCTGCTGCCAAAGCCAGAGACTGAGGATGAGTTTTTACGGATGTGCCGCCTGAAGGAGAAGGAACTGGAGGCACTGCCCTGCCTTTATGCCTCTGTGGAGGCAGAGGCTTGGAGCAGCATTGAGGATCTCATCCGGACAATAAAGGACAGGATCGGGGAGGAGCAGCGGAAAACCATCTGGGTGGATGAGGATCAGCTATGAAAGCCCTCAGGAACACGGAGCTCTTTGGTGAAGAAAGGACACGTCCAGGTGGAGCAGGGCTCCTCAGAATCCTCTGGTTGGGTGCCCAGAGCTCACTCCTGTTTCACCCTTGCTGCTGGGGCACTCCCTGCGGGCAGGATGCATGTCTGGAACGGGACTGGAGTTGTGTTGAAGAGCCAGAGTCTCAGATGCTGGGATCCAGGCTGTGGGGCCACCACAATTTCTGATCCACTGGCATTTCTTAAGGGACAGCACCTGTTTAACAAGTGAGGACAAAGATCTTGAGCAGGAGCTTGGGGTAATTTATTATGTTCAAAATATGTGGAATCTGAAAGGGATAAGGCATGGGGATTGGGGTGCAGGATGTGGAATTGAGATGTGCCCCACACCTCCCTGAGATGAGATTCTGAACATATCCAGCTGAGGAAGCTGAAGGCTGGTTGGGAGCAGCAGCAACACAACTGCTGATGGACAGAGCAGCTCTGTAGCCCTGGTTCTCCACAGCCATTTTCAGCCTTTTTAATCAAAAGAGAAGAAAATAACTATTCCTCCTGGCATTAACGAAAATGAAAATTTTCTCTTTCTTTTGAAACCCCAGTTTTATTTAACAGTTTTGCAGGTTTCCTTTGTAGTCCTGGCGCTTACAGGAAAACAGACTTCACTGTCCCAGTGGCACATCAGATCTTTCCACATCTGCCAACATTTCATTTAGTTTATCCCTGCCTCTGCATTGTATTCATTTGTACATCCCTCAGTTTTTAACATCTTTTTACTCATGGAAAATACCATGGTGCTTTCTTCAGACAACAGGTTTCTCTGTTTCTTCACTGAAATATTTCTCTACAACATCATTGCCTGCCAACATGCCCACTCTCAACAGGAGGGACTATTTTTAGAAGAAGAAAAGGAGGATATCATAAGCCAGTAATTGCTGTGAACCACTCAGTCCTTGACCTGTGTGCCATGAGCAGCAGCGAGGAGCCCGGCGGGCACCGCGCTGAGCTGTGGCCAAGTGGGATAATGCTTCCACAAGTGTGTGTAGGGCTGAGCACACCATGTCCCATTTTCAAAAGCACTTAAGTCCTCAAAGAGTTTAAGTCCCACTGCTCATGAGTGTGACTTATACTCCTAAATCTCTTCAGGCTTTGAAATCTTTCCTCTCGGCATTAGACGCTGTACTGAGATTGCCAAATTGATCCAATAAAACTGACCCGATAATAATGACTCGCGCAATTGCTGATCTGAAATGCAATAAAAATTGACCTACAGATGAAGAGTGGTCCATCCCATTGTCCTTAGATCCTTCATTCCTTGCCATATCCCTTCCTTTTAAGATGCATTTAATAACAAATTTCCTTTCCTTCTGCATTCATCCTCAGTCCCCCATCTCGGTGCTGTGGGCTGATGTGCAGTAGCAGGCAATAAAAAACAATCGGAATCTAAACAGAACATCTGGCCTGGTTGCCTTCACTAGATTAGCTGCTCCCTTGTCTTTGCAACAAACTTCTGCTGTGGGTGTCTCTCAGGTAGACTGGGTCAGCTCATGTTGGCTTTTGGGACTGCGCTTTTGTTTTATGTTCTTCTCTTTTATGCATATCATTTTTTAACTAATGGACTCTTCGAGAAGTAATTTATGTCACTTTACATCTAATTGCTGCTGCTGTGTTTCTCAAGTTATTAATGTTTGAAAGAATGTTCATAGCTAGCACTTCTCAGAGAATAGCTTTTTACCTGCCCAGTGCCATCTGCTTGGACTGTACAAGCAGGGGGATACTTCCATGTGCCACCTCTTTACAAAAAGGACAGGCTGCACAAACAATTTGCAACTCCCTCCAGGGCAAAGAATAACAACCAGTTGGAGTATATATAGAACAAATTGGATGGTTCTTCAGAGATCCTCTGTAGCTCAAGCAGAAATAAGAAAGCATCAGTTGGAAGAACTAAGCCTTGCAGGAGCATTTTGCATTCATTCCTAATGTCCTGGTAATGCAGCCTCGTGTAACAGCTGCCTGTGGTTTGTTCCTGCCCCTCTTGTGAAAGCTTTGAGTCCGCAGCTGAGCAATGGGAGGGACCGCAGGAACATTTCTCAGCTGCTTCAGCAAAAAGTTCAGCCAGGTCAGCGTCAGATGCCTCCAGGAGCCAGCAGCTGACTGCTCTGACTGCTCAGTGGCCAGCACATGGAGGATGTCCGTGTGCCACCGGCTGTGCCATGGGGATCGCTGCCATCTGCTGGAATGGCTGCAGCAGATGGCAGGTGGGGCAGAGGGGATGGACTGCCTCAGAATGCCGTGGTTGTTTCTGCAGTGATCTCCTCTCCCCACAGCTTTATGTCTCTTTGCATGGACAAAGCTGCAGATGTGATTTGTCCCACTCCACTTTCGGCACAGCAAAGGCATATGCCAAACTCTGGAGGAGGTTCCTCTGCAGTGAGAAGAGATTCACCTCCAAAGAGCTGTTTCTCTGACTTACTGGAGATGGCTATCTAAGGGTGAGATGAATTGCCCTCTGAACTGTCTGGGGTTTTCATAGATACAGCAAGAAATGAGAGAATTAGCCTGGCCTTTAGCATTTACCTCTTTGATCTGTAATTTGGGGCAGCGAAACCACCTTATGGGGAAAGTGGAAGTAGAGATTGAGACAGAGAACAAGAGATCTAATTATTTCTGTGAAACAAGAGAGGAATGAAAACATGGAGCAAACCTTTTTTCTCAAATCCAAGTGCATCTGTAAATTCCCAGCTCTGCAGACCCATTGTGGTTGTCTGCTCATGTGATGCAAAACAACCAGAGCCTGTCCAGTGCAGTTCATGGCACAGCTGAGTGCTGTACCCTGCACAAGCCTCATGTCTCTGTGACTTGGTGGAGGAGGACTGAAAACTCTGCTCCCTCTTGACTTGTGGGTGTGAACTCCAAGAGCAGATCTGGAGCTGGAGTGGAGCACGTAACAAAAGGGGCCACAGTCATTTACACTGGCTGGGAGGTGCCTCTGCTCTGGAGCCAAGAGCTGTCCCTCACAACTGAAGGAAATTAACCCCTGCACCTTTTGAAACACATTCAGATCTTGAAAAGAGGCCATGATTTTCCCTGAATGTCAGAGTGCTTGAATCAGTGTGGATTCCAAGTTCTGAACCAGCAGATTTGAAGTGCAGACTTGGAATTTGGGCTGTAGATCACTGTGGTATTTTCCATTCTGCTAAGTCTCCCTGGTGAGGTACCACCTTAGGCCACATCCCTCCTCACATGCACATCCCAGTTACACAAACCTGGACTCAGCACATGCACAAAAGCCCAGCAGGCACAACCAGCTTCAGTAGGGGTTGCGTGGCTGAAAAACTGGGACAACAATTAAGAAAACAAAATGGGAATTGGAAATGTTGGAAATGTTCCCTGTAAACAGTGTCACAATGGGACCTCAAGCAGATTCTCCACTTGATCTCATCCAATGGTTAGAATGGGACAAGTTTAATGTTGAGTTATTCTCTGGTTGTTTCTGTATTTTAGACAGCACTTGATATGAGATTTGGGGTCAATAACTGAACTTGCAGGTACCACCAAAATTCAGATACATTCTCTAAATCAGTCTAAAGAGCGACATTCAAGCTGCAGACCTGATTTGGAGCTGGAGGCTGTGCTTGGACACCAGAGCTCAGGCCCAGGTGTGGATCCCTACCTGAGGTAAGCAACATTCACAGCACAACCCATTTTAAAATCACTCATGGATTTTAATTGAAGTCTGGGAACATTTCTCAGCAGTTTGTATTTTAAGTTAGAAAGGAGGTAATAGAAAGCCTGGAAATTGCCCTATGTTTGGTCTGCTGCTTTTACTGTAAAAGGCAGAAAACATAGAATAATAACTGCCTTTCAAAATGGATTATTTGAAAACTACTTCTTGCCTTTAAGAGCTCACAAGAGCTTGTTGGAAAATTTTTCAAATGCAAATTGTTCTTCTGAAAATGTCATTGAAAAATTGCCCACTAGAAAATGCAATTGGAAATTTTTTCAATGGAATATTGTTCTGTTAGAAAATATGTTTTCATCTAAATCAAATGCCTATGGAAATTCTTTCATTCTAACATTTCATTTTGAAAAAATTTAAAGTATTTCAATAATACTGAAGCAGTCATTTTCAATATTTCACATACTTTTAATCTTTTATCTGAAAACATTTTTGGGATTAATTTTTATATTTTTAGGTGAAACCTTTTAAAAAATCTACATTTAAACATTTGATTTGATTGAAACACTTGTTGCATTTGATGTTTACATTCTACAAAATAATGGAAGTAATGGCTTACAGCTCTCACATGTGGTATAATACCTGTGATCACAAGAGAAAAATCCAACTGAGTCTGGCTTTGCTCTTTGTTTAACTCTGCTGCTAAAATGATGTATTGTATGAGTCAGTATCATGCAGTTCAGCACATTGGGGAATTGTTGCAGGTAAAAATTTCATGCAAACTTTATTACACAGAATTGGATATTCCTTTGAATGAGAATTCTGGCTGGAGGCAAAGCTGTCAATCGGTCCGGCTGCAGCACAGACAGCTCTGGCAGCACAATTTGCAGGGGGGTAGGAACACACACAAAGCAGACTTGTGCCTACAAACTTAAAGTGGAGATAGATGCCAAAGCTGGAAAAATGCCTGTAAACCTGTTAGAGGTTTCTGTATTCTTTGTGCCAAGCTATTTTCATGGCCCAGGGTTTGAGAGCTCAGCACAAGGCTGCAGTCGGGCACTGCTGAGCCCTGGAGCTGCTCGCAGCTTCTCCAGCCCTGCCTGGGCTGGGCTGCCTCAGCAGCACTTGTTAAACTCTTCCCTGGAGACTGCAAAAGCAAGACACAGGAGTTTAGGGCTTCTGGGAGAGCAACATTCTAGGATTTTGCAGTTATTTGTATTGTGTATTCCAAGTCATTCAGCCTTAATCAGCTTAGACCGTGACAATGTGTTCCCCTTTAGTGCCGTTTCCATCTCCTTTGCTCTTGTTCAGCTCTGAGAATTGAACAGTACCTCACAAAAAGACACACAATATCAAACAGGAGATTGTGATTCACTGCTTGTAAGTGACTTTGTCTCCCCCCTTTCTCCTTCTTGCTCAGTTTCCAGAGTTGCTTGCTCTGCACCCTGTGTCCCACAGGGGCTGATTCCATGTGCAGCCCTGAGGTCCCTCACCAGGGCACCACCACATCAGGGATGGCTGTCAATTGAAGCAGCAATTCCAGGAGAACCTTCTGCTTTTCCAGACTCATCTGTAGAAGAAAAACGAGGCTCACCCATGGATCAAGGCCATGTGCCTTTGGTTTTGGAGACCAAACCCAGTGTGAGTTTTGGTTGGTTCAGGCACAGTGAATAGGGGTTCTTGAGCGCTGGGAGCTTGGGTGGCAGTACAGTCATTGTGTGAGACACCCTCCTGGTACAGCAGGAGTGACAGTGACCCTGCTGTGCCAGTCCTGCCCACACAGCACCTGCAGCTACTGGAGTCACCATTCTGCCCAGCTCTTTCCTGGGAAGAAAACCTGATCCAGCCAAGGCAGTGCTGAAAGATGGTGGCATGAGATTTCATCCATGTACTTCAGGCACTGCAGAATTCTGCCATGCTCCCAGAAATCACACTTGCTATCTCTGTAAAGCTCTGTTTAACCCTCAGAGTCAACCCCAGACCCAAATTCTGAGGAATCTGTGCCATTCTTACAGACTTTTCATTGATTCCTTGCAGAAGCAAACAGAAGGCCTGGCATCCCTGCAGATTTCACCTCTAGAACTGATGCTTCTTTAAGAAGGTGCTGTCACTGTCCCTGTACAATGCAGGAGGTGACAGAGAGCTGAGGGCACCTGTCCACACAGGCCAATGGCACAGCCTGGCTCCCCTGGGCTGCACTGCTCTGTGCCAAGGCTCTGCATGGGGGGTGATGCCAGCTGGCAGCTGGATCAAGGGTTTGAGTGGGACTTGCCTTCAGTGGTGAGATTTCTAGTCTGATTGGAGAACCCTACCAGTAAGCCAAGTTAGAACAACAGGAAGCTCATCTACCCTCCCTCCCCCACGTCCTTTTTTCTGTTCCTCTGCTGCAGAAGCTGTCTGATGTTCAGATCAGAGGCTCTCCAGGGTTAAATGCACCATTAGTCACTGGGAAAAAGGGAAAAAAAGACACTTTTAAAAGCAGATGGTAGATGATAGAGAACCTGCTTGAGAGTAACTATCTACAACAGCGTGTCTGCTTCATCAGATATTAGCATCAAAAGCTGTCTGATAATTTAGCAACAAACAGCAATATTGATTTTCTTCCAAAGTGCAGATGCAGAAAGACAAAGATGGAGAGGTGGCTTTTTCAGAGGATCCCCATTTATGCCTGGCAAAGACAAGGCAGGAAAGGACCTGCAGCCCCCAGTGCCACCAGCAGGGCAGGAGCAGCCTGCAGGTGAGAGGTTCTGGAGGGAACCAGGGAGAGATCCCCTGCAGCCCTGTCAGGAGCCTGTGCAGAATGGAGGGGCACCTCCCAGGGGTGAGGAACCGGGGCTCCCACCAGGGAAAATGGGAAATAGAGCAAAGTAGTGCAGCTGGGATGGAATGTGGAAGAGACATGGGAAGTAGCTTGCTCCCCTTGTTCTCAGAGGATATGTGAATTAATTGCTGCAAAGTAATCTGAGCAGTAATAGTTACCAGTCCTTCTGTCTCTCCCTTGGATACAGCAGCCATCCTGACTTTCCAGGGTGCTGCCAAAATAGCCATTTTAACACTTTAGCATCTGGAAAAATTCCACTTTACAACTAAAATTTCTCCTTCATCCCTTGTCCCATTAATTTCTTTTTCACATATTGGTAGAAAAGCCTCCTTGTGGTCAGCAGTTGGCTCTTGGAACTATTTCTTGATGACAAGAGTTGGGTTTTTCCAATTCTTTGGACAACAGCTCCTACTCCTGATTTAAATTCCCTACAACCAGTGGTCTCACATCAATTATGTACACTGCTCCTCATCTCTGTGTCTGAAATGTCAGCGAATCTGATAATTTTTGCTCACAGAGGTGGGGAACCAACAAGGATCTGTGGCACAGCCTGCAGTGATTGCATCTACCAAGGCATTAGCAAAACAGCAAGGAGACAGAAAGGGGCACTGACACTTGCTGAAGTTCAGCCCCCTGCTCCAACAGCAGAACTCAGAGAATTCCTAACAGAGAGCTTAGGCAGGCACCAGGGCACATCAGGACACTGCTCAGGAAGGGCTGCACAAGGCACTCTCCAGCCATGGCCATGGGAACATTTAGAAAGAGCAGGAAAGAATTAAACACAGTAAGAAATAAAGAATAACTCATAATTAAACTGATTTATTCCTGGCAGAAATGGACACAATTCCATTAACTTTCAGTTCCATCTAAATGCGCACCAGAAAGAAACTAAGCTGGATATTGACTCTGACCTAGTTGGAGTTCTTTATACTAACATTTCTGTATTGTTAAAATACTGTTTTAAGAGCCAATTTTGGGCTGTTGCCTCCATCTTTGCACCCTAGAGAAAGCCCGTGGGGTAAACTTCTATTAAATGAATGTGAAAAATTGATGCCTGGTTTTAAGTGCACATTTATAAATATAACATCAATTCCAGTGGCTTACAGCAGCTCCTCTCCCAAAGAGCTCTGCCCCCTGAGCCTGCCCTGTGGTGTCTCTGACCCAACCTCCTGGAGCAGCCCAGCACCTTCCAAACACACTGGGAATATTCAGCTTTGTCATTGTAGCCTGTCTGCAGCATTTGCTTCCCCATATCCTGGTGCTGAGGTGATTTGCTCATTATCAGATTGCTGTTTATTAATCAGAGCGGTAACAATGGGACAGAGGAGCTGGAATACAGCACAGCCAGTGCTTCATTTGTTCCAATTGATTTTCCTATCACATTTTATTACTACTATTTACTTTGTATGCCTCAGGAAGATTGAACTGCACTGTGCAGTAGGGGTAGGGATTTGAATTTCTCTTCTCTTTAGCTCTATTTCTGTGGTGATAGTCAGAACAGTGGGTTCTTCCAGCAACTAAGCCATGACCTTCTCTGCTATAAAACAGCATATGGAAATGCTGTGATAATGAGACTCCACCAGTGTGTGAAGTCCTGCAGGTGGAGTCCTAGGGAAATCCATGAGAGTCATGGATACTGAACACAAATTATCTCTCCAAGATGACACCTCACAAATGCTCAGCACTGGCCCGAAGCTCTGCTGGAGCTGAAGCAGCTGGAAGGTGCAGAACAGGCACCTGTGCTTAGGCTGGGATGAGCAGCTTGTACCAGAGGGAGATTTTGTCCTGCAGTAAAATTAATGGAGCTGATGGTCATGATGGGTTTTTCCCCTGCTCCTTCCTCTTTTCTCTGTCTTAGGTCGCTGTTCACAAGCTGGATCTTGCAGAGTCCAGCCAGCACATCCAAGCCATGAGGGCTGAGCAGATGATTCCTGTCAGGAGGTGTGTGGTGCTTTATGGGAGCTGACGTGTGGGTCAGCAGGGACACCCAGGGTGGCACACGCTGTAAGATCACATTAATCCTCCCCTTGCCACTAACAGGGCTCACTGAGAACCAAAGGCAACTTTAAAACTGACTGAGAAACTATAAAAATCTGTGGCAAACCTCCTATTTTCAGCACAGCAGGGATTTCACTCTAGAGATTTATAAGTGTTTGAACTATATTTACTCTGAAATTGCCCCATTCAGTGAGTACCACAGGAAACTCATGGTTGGCTGCAGCTGTGGGTGTCAGATGCAGTTGCGTGGGGAGGTGATGAGAATATATGTTAAACAAAGGCTTTGTTTTCAACACTAATTTTAGAATTAGCCTAGTTGAGGAGTGAGGAGGCAGCTCTCAGGTGGTAGCACATGTCATTAATAAAGTTCAAAACACAAACCACAGACAGTCAGCTGAGCTGGAAGCTTCCGTGGGCTCTTCACTGTTACTGGCAACGTGAGAGTCCTTCAGACAGGAATTTCTTTCTTATCACGAGTTTTATCTTGCTGAGAAGCTGTTTTGTAACTTAGGTAGAGTGGGTGAGTGTGTGCATGTGCAAACACATGCC